GCAGCAAGCGAAATTGCGGTCTGGTGTGTTTTGCATTGACCAAATCTTCACACTCCGTCAGATGTTAGGACAACGAGGGTAACAAGCGGGGTTTCGGCATGCTAGGGGTTGAGTTGACCAAATCTTCACACTCCGTCAGGTATTAGAACAACGCCATACGTACAAACGGTCCGGAATTTTAGTATTCTTGGATTTCCAAGGCACATTTGACTCAGCTGACAGGTCTGTTCTCCTTGACACGCTTGCTCAATAAGGAATGCTCGGAAGCTTGTGAACATCAAACGCCCTCTGTATTCTCAGACTTTTGGACGTGTGAGAGTATAGAGAGCTAAAAAATAAACGGGAAACTCAGCTGGGGTCCAGATGAGTCTTCCGCAAAACCAAATAAGTTTGCAAATGAGTGTATCTCACCATATAGAGCTCTCAAAAAATTTCCCTATATAAAGCGGTGTCCGTCAGGGATGCCTACTGTCTCCACTGTTATTTATATTCGTGACCGATAAGATAATGGGACGAATGCTGCAATTTCCGTAAACGCCCGACGTTCAAACAGCCTCTGACGGATGCCTTGTTGGTCGGAATATGTAGACGATATCGTCCTCACCTTTGAAGAGGACAAGGCGCAGTGGTTTCTGAATGAACCAACCAAAGTCATCCCGTCCTTTAGTATGCCCGTGTTAGGAGGCAGTCCTCCTAACGAACATACTGATCAACATTTCTCTCTCTCTCTCTCTCTATTTCAGCCTTTCATTGGACTGTTTTGTTCCATTCCATTCTTGATTCTTCGAATCTCGATATTGGTTGTTCAGTTGCTGCAGTATAATTTCCTCAAGGCTTTTTTGTCTTCTCAACTCCGTGTGTAACTGACTGATCAGTAGAGAACATAACAGCCCGTTGCACCCAAAAAGGGAAAGGTCATGCTCCCGGACATGCAGTCACTGAACACGCCAGTTAAAAATCAAAGGAGATGCACTGGAAGTTGTGGGGGGTTACGTGTCTTGGTTGTAGCGTTTGCTGATTTGAGACACCCATTTCTTCAGAGTATAGACCCCTGAACCCCAAGGGACGTGTACCCAATAGTTTTGTATGGCTGTGGGACTTGGCCTATTCGAGCAACTGAACTAAGACGTCCTCAGGTGTATGACAATCGTTGACCCAGAACCACAGCTCGTGTGGGTTGGTGTCGGCGTATCCATAACGAGACAATTAGAAGGCGAGTGTTCGGCTGTGCAATAGGAACTTCTTTTGAAGAATGTATCCAGCACCAGAAGCTGCGTTGGTTGAGACATGTATTGCGTATGCCGAACCATCGATTGCCGAAGAGAATACTGTCTTCCACGCCCAATTCAGATTGGCGTAAGCAGAGAGGTGGCCAACCCTTAACTTGGCAGAGGAGAATGAAGGAGATCACGTTTGGGTGCTGTCGGTGCTACTCGCCTTCCAAGATGGGGACCGCATGATCCTCAATGCGCCTGGTTGGAAACACTGCAAGATGAGGCTGCTAACTGATGTCAATGGCGGTCTTTTTGTCGGTTTCTATCCACATTGCCTGAAAGAGTGTCTGGGGGGATAGGCACCTCGGAGTGATTGTAATGAGCTAGCACTAAGTTCCTTCCCTGTCCGCCTTCACTCTTTTATTCACAATGACGCTTTCAAATAAGTCATGGTTGAATGGCAGCGAAACATTACTGTTGAACACTGATGTGCTGCCCATGATGATGAGTATTCCGGACGTGAATGACCAAAAGATCGAAACACGCCCAACAGCCAGTCGTGATCCAGTATCGGCCGAATACCGACTGACAATGGAACGTCCAGAAGGTGTCCGAATTTCAATAATGTTGCCACTTCATAAACTTTGCATAAGATGCGCTGTACATGTGCTTTTGACCTAGTTTTGGGAGTTTACTACACGTTGTGAACCTTCAATGGTTCTTTTGACGAGAACGCTAGCTTGAAAGGTTCGAACTAGAAACCGACCTGAGGAACTAATGTTATTACACATTGTTCTCATTTTCAAAAAAAACAAGGTACGTAAGTTACGGCAGTGAAGCATGAGTGCCAACAATGATGTTGCTGTCTTTGATGATGATGATGATGAAGCTGATCGAAGTCATCCAGTCCTTCGGCATGAGCTTTGTGCCCACAAATTGTAGTAGTCTTTAATATACCTCTTGAAATGTGTCTTGAACCGTCGAGCCACGGGAACAGTGAACCACGACAGTCAACTTCAGATCATCCCCAAAAGCACCACGGGCCCAATGTTCAGTCGGCTTCATATGAAGTTTACCAATGCATTTCCAAGTTCGTTCGCTGAGCAGCGTCGTGTTGGAGCCCGTAGTGAATACAAACGAACCGTCACCTCGACAAGCTAAATCAATTGTGAACAGCACCGTCACTGAGTTATACTGTGATTTACGAGTTAGCTACTGCGACTTTCGAGAAAAACATAAATCTTCTTTATGGAGACGACGACTGCCACTGGTGCAACGGTGATACTACTGATCGGGAGGCACGCGAGTAGTATGTGTTGTTCGTAGAATTTCGCTTTGCGTCGACTGAAAAAGGGAATTGTGTTGCGGGATTCGTGGGGCCACTTTGTAACATTTGCTTGGATTTGACCAACGAATGGGTGGAGGCAACGAATCTCTAGGAAGACTCGTTCGGGAGAAGATCTGTGTCCAGTTTTTGTAACTAAGATGCAGATTAGAGTTTTGCTTCCCTGTTCAATGGTCTGTAACCGGTCAGTTGGCATTTCCGAATAAATAACTCCGCAGCGAAGGCCTTCTTCCTTTCACTGGTACAGTTATGACGCCTAGATAGGCAGTAACGAGCAATACCACGCACCAAAACAGCAAAAACTTGTACCAGGTCCGCCGTGTTTTCGAACGGATTGCTTTCAGGCTTTTCTGGAACGATGGAATAGAATACAGTTACAGCTGCTGGAAGCGCAGGTGATTCATCAATCACAACCTTGCCATAATTAAGGTTGATGAGGCATTGGCATTCGGTGATGAGAGCCTGCAACATCATATCCACATTCCGTTTAATCCTGATCAGCAACGGGGTTCAGATGTCCGCGTCTTGAGACGGAGACGCCTAAACCAGGTCTTCGTCGTCGAGCTGAGCTCGAAACGCTGTCATTCCAGATTGACATCGGCAAGCGTGACAAAACAGTCAGGCTTTGGAGCCAGGTACCAGACGTCGAATAACGCAACTTGAACACTAAATATCGAAGACAGGTTTCTGATTGCGTCATAATAATGGACAAAAACACCATCATAGAAAGCAAGACTAGTGTCCACATTAATGCCTCACTACCGTATAGTGAATTCGGACGAACCAAAACTGCAGTTGTGTGATGCATGGCGAACAAAGTGGGACCGGAAGGGAAAGCATTCACATTGAGTTGGGGAAGGGTAGAATAGGGAAACATCAGAAGTAACAGTTTTTCGCTTGACGACCCTAATCCATGCAGCAAGTAAGATGGGGAGTATCACGCGAAGGTGGATATGGCCGATTTTGTGACATTCCTGTTTGTACGTAAGTCGGGATACAGTCGGGAGGGCTACACATAGAAAGGAGGATGAGTAATAGGGTCGTCAACTAAATATTTGGCTCAAAAGCCTGACCACAAGGCAGCGGGTGCTTGCCAGCAGACTACTGAAGTCGTATAGTTTTTAGGGGACAAGTCACCATACTGGTCCTCGATGAACCTGGAGAACCAAGAGACTGTGCTCGTCGGACCTCTATCGACTGACCAACCTGGTATGAAAACTATTCGAGTGAAAGTGAAACTCCTCAGTATAGTTCAGCGGTTCCTAGAGGTATACAAACTAGCACACCGCGAAAAGGTCCAGTCTCTTTGATCGTGTCGTCAAAGGTGAAGTCGCGGGAACAGCCTGAGGAGACTGGAGTGCGTATATCGTTCATACACTGGCGTGCCAGGTTTTCCGCAGCAACAAACTAACACCAGCGAAGTTGGATAATTCAGTTTTGAATGTCTTCGTGCAGCTAGAACCAGGAGTCACGGTTCACATATGAAGGCCGTTAGTGAGGCCGTGGATGTATCAGATGAAAATCATTGTATTATCTTACCTGGTATTGTTGTACCATATCTTTGCACTATAGCATATTGAACCGCATGCTACTACATGACATTACATTACATTACGTCGCCCTGTTATATTATCTCACTATTATATTGTATTAAGTATTATTATACATCATATATATCATACCAGATTATCCTGCCACATATTACTTCATATCATATTTTGGTATGGTATAATAGTGTTTGGTACTGTCGTCATATTATTGCATTATACTTTACATCATAGTATGGCACATTATACACACTACCTACTATTGTATAATTGTCAGCGTATTACAGTTATATACGTACGTACGTAAGTTGAGTAAAGTGACCAGAAAAAACGTCTGTAAAGCTGTGGACTATTGATGTGGAATGGGCTAAATAAGCTGACGAAGCAAAAAGCTTCCAAAGTGACAAATTAGTTCTGAAGTGGTAGGATTCCATGATGTTTCTGTGCATTGTTGATGTTCAAAACCAAATTTCGCCGCAGCATCCTGTTATTCGTGTTCAGTTCCGTGTACGTCCAATTTATCATGTAGTCCGCTCCGAAAGGAACGTCATGATAGCACGAAGCCAAAACTCAGGCATATCCATTCTGACATAACGGATGACATCCATTAAACTGACCACAGAAAACTCGGTGATTAGTATTAACATGAAATTAGCGATGAATAAGAACCCAGTCCTAGTGAACCACTTTCAACAAACTTTTCTAGCTACTCTCAAGCTGACAACTGAACAAAAGTCCATTTAAAACCAATTTACAAACATAAAAAATAAATCATTCAGCTGCAGCACCCTTTCGGTGCAATCAACTGACGAGTAAACTAACGGCAGAACGTGGAATATAAGGGCAGCGTTCCTGAAGGGAATACGACGCCTAAAGATAAAGAATAATACATACCAATTTCGACAACTCCGAAGACCAAGTGGACATGACCAGAATACGCCCAGCGTCTACCCAGTGCAGGTAAATGCTTCTCAGCATCTCAATAGCTAATCGACCACACTCGCTAGCTTCATCACCGCCAATCAGGACACGGTCAGGATGCATCAAGTTTTCCACTGCGGTACCTTCAGCAAGAAACTCCGGGTTGGAGAGAACCACCGACCGTTGGAGCTGTATAGAGGAGCAACACACAGAGAACTTTGCAGGGTTACCAACAAGGAAACAAAGGGCTGATCAAATCACGAAAGGCGTTACTTCATGCCTTAATAAAGCTTGCTTATTCGCATCACGAAAAGTAGTTTCTTTATGTGATCGTTAGAAAGTCCACAAACGTTACTCCCCTTCGACATCATCGACAGCAGTGTTCGTTACTGATGCTTCACTACCGTACAACCGTAACTTATTTGGAAACATTTTTGGTAAGAGAAGAATAAGTGTTAGCTTATTACAATGATTTCGGGGTGTCTACATTTGCAAACACTCATTTAAGTAATCCGGATAGAAACTGACAAGAACGTCATAATCTATCGGTAGCCATCTTGCAGCGTGTCTAAGAGTGCAGGGGGATAATCACGCGGACCCTACCATGGAACGCAGGTTGCAGTGAAAGTACACACATTTTTCGTAATTCATTTCACATCCCTCTGTTAAGTCAAAGATTGACCAACTCACTACTTGCAGAATTCTGAATCGGACACAGGAAACAGTCCTTTTCGGCAAACTGTAACAAATGCATGGGAATATGACCACTAGAGTGGTCAGATAGAAGCTTTGACTATCTTTTTTTATTTTCAAGGGTGCATAAATTTATTCCTACAAATTATTGCAAGTTGGTTTTCATGCCTTTCCATCCATTTACAATACCAGACATGCAGACTTAACAATTAGTTCATTTAGTGAAGAAAATGAATGCAGAACAATTTAAACGATCTGAGACTGCATCGCCAACCACAGTGCGTTTTGAAACTCGACAGATCTTTTGAAATTCGAAGCCCAAGTACATGTAGTATAAATAAAAGACGCCTGAGAATAAGTTCAAGTCATCGACAACCCGCTTTCAGTAAGGGTGAACTACTTCCACTGTAAGGATTGTGGAATGCTGTCATTCTATGTCGTACTGCTCTCTGAGCTCGGGGCTGCATGTATCTGTGAAAACATTGCAAGAAATACCAAAAATCCGTGAATCCACACATTTCTGCAAATTATTCCGCTTTTGGAGCGGCACTTGTGCAGTAAAACCCAACTCCCAAGAAGGAGAATCGCAAGATACAAAGTTTCGCCGCTTTACTTCAGATGGATACTGGCTGAGAACACTGACCATCAACCATAAGCAACAACCAAAGTGACTGTGGTCAGTCTAGGAAAAATACTGGCAATTGCGTTAAATCTACTTCGGAAGCGTCATTTGCATGAAACCCGATAACATCACGCTGGAGAGTGCATGGAAGCAGATGGCGAGATGGCTCAGGTGGTTAGAGCACGAATTTACTGACCAGATGGTCTGTGGTTCGAACCCGACCTGCCTCTCAACTTCCCCTGTCTAGGATTGGGCAATCTGACAGTATCCAAGCCCTCGTGCTTCCTTCGGGTAGCATGGTAGCAAGACACTGGAATGGTGTTACAGCTGAAGAATGATGACATGGAGGCAGAGATTTCAGACCAAAACTGCATCTCATCGCATATGTGTACGTTCAGAGACAACTTTTGTGTGATACCGTACCATCCAATCACAACACAACGGACGAAACCTTTAAATTGCTTCTAGATCGTTCTCAGAGGGAATACCTTTGGTACATAATGTGATTTGGGATTCTTTTCGGGAAGATTGCTATCATGTCACACGCATACGACCTCGACCTGAGACGGTCTTTCTCTGTCCACCTGCCGTTGGCTCAGTTCAGTTCATCTTAATCCGATTGGTCATCCGTCTTCGCGGAAGACTGTTGATTATCAAGCCGTGAACTCGGTATCTTACCGGATGTCTACAGCGATGTGGCGCATCCAGAAGGATCCCAACTTAACGTTAATTTTGCTCCTTTTAGCGACATGAGGGAGAGACATTTTACAAGGATCCAGTTTATATTGGTTGATGGTGTATTGGGTTACCCAAAAAGTAATTGGGGCTTTAAGGGACATTCACTGTTATTCGAGGGTACCGCATAGAATGAAGTTACATCAACAGAAGCCTTAATTCAGAAGTCGAATCATTTAAACACGTGATCGTCGGTGATGCTGGGCAAACCGCTGAAACTAAGGAAGACTGAGCATCAGTGTTGGGGGTATCAATATCCTCCAGAAATCTGTCTTTATGTGTAATAACGAACTTCCGGCAGTTTCAAGGTCAAAACATGGATATATATATATATATATCCGCTATAGCCTGTTGATCGCTTGTTTTTCGGAGCATTACACTTGTGTTCAAGGCTTCGTCTTCTTACTATTCCGCTGTGCTAGGAGTCGGGATCAGACAACATAGCTGAAGGTAGCATATCGTCACAGACCGCGCATATTATCGTCACTCGCTGCGTGATCGAAACCGTAACAACCAGACAAATACGCGAGGTGATGTACAAGACCGCGCTAATCATCCAACATCACCACTAGAGTCAACCCACTGAGGCGCCCGAAGTTCATCGGGGCATAGCGAAGTAATCTACACAAACAGGCAGATTTCGGAGCAGCCTTAGGGTAGGTCCGGAACTAATGACCGAGTGGTTTTATTCAGCTATTTTCTGCAATGCGTATCGACTGAGCGCACGTTTACTCCGCTTTCCGTACCCATGGTGTACAAAACGACACAATCCTGCAATTACGTCGTTACAATTCTGGTTCACCAATGAGGTATGATTAGATTGCACACGCACAACCACTAACCCATCGCTACGCACAACTACGCTCCCTAAAAACGCACAGATGGTGTCACCTTGATTGGTGACGAAACGTTTGCAGTCTAATTGCCCATCTCAGCGACCAGTCTCTGAACCTTACCATGACGCAGAATTGATGCCGCTCAGTGTTTACGGAATGCTAAAATTCACCTCTGCGTGTATAAAACTACCAGCTTGACCTGCAAACTACCAGAGATTCTCCGTTGCAATTTTTGTGGGAAGATGGTCAACAAGTATGATGTAGCATTCATGCACTGCATGAGCTGGAACACCGTACCCTTCAGCTGTCACCTAGAAAATACTGCACGCGTAATAATATTCGTGAAAACTAACAAGAGTTTATTGCCTGCCCGTGTCCTATGTCGGTCATCCCAAAATATCGACTGAACCACCATTAATAGAATGTTTTGATACCCGGCGGTAGAGGTAAATGATATTCGTGGTTTCATTTGATACCTTCAGTGCAGTCGAAGATTAAATACATCGTTAATCCAGAGCGAAATAGTGTGATCGAAAATCACCGCGAGTGTATTACCAGGTATCGTGACTTCCGCTGTCGGATATCAGAGTCTGTGTTCACCAGAAAGAAGAATAAAGATCGACGAATTACATCCATTTGCAGCATCCATTTGAATGTGCTGCACAAAGGCCGTCTCATGTTCCAGTTGATGCGAGCAGTCAAATTAGTCCTTTTGACGAAACACGCGACCCATAAGGCTAATAAAAACTCTTCGAAAGCCCGTGACCACTTCGGCCTTTTTGAGGCTCATAAGTTGGTGTAGCTTCTTAGGCTCCATCCTGAAGCGTCGAAGAGTGTTCAGCAATCTTATGAGTAGTGTTTTCCGTCAGGAAGAATGATAAAGACATCAATGTCATTGTTTCTGCAAGTAAACAGAACGGAGCAGCCAATCTGAAGACATTAATGAGAAGGCGAAAAACTCACACCTCATAGATACATCTGTTATTTGGTGCCATTACGCACTACACGTGATGTGAACCATTGGAAGCTTTTGTTTGGCTATGGTAGGAATCCGTGACATACCCGCACGAGAACACCACGAAACCACGCAGTTGTCAATGACAAAAAATGTCATGGGAATCTAAAAAAAATTCACTCAACGTTCGGTCTAAACAGTCCCATGCCGTTAATTAACACCTCCCATATACCGAGGGCGGTTAAGTGAAGGTAGGGTATATTAGTTTTTGTGGTATTCATCTGACACCTCGTATTTCTCCAAGGACCCAGAATGAACAGGAATAGGTTAAGGCTCTAGATTCTGACTCATCAGTGAAACTGTGACTTGCATGCGAGACGGGTTTCTCGATTAGGTCGAGCCGTCCTGGTTATTGTACACCTTTGTTCATGCACTCAGCTATCACTTAACCAGTCAGGATATGACCCAGCTGCCAGAAACCAACACTCACGTTGCGAAGTGCTATAACCGATGTTCAAACAACCAGTACATCACGAACAAATCACTTTAACAGCGAAAAATACACCATCAAGTTAGTAAACTACAAAGGTCTGCCAAATAGGATTACCGCCACGTTCTGATAGGCATCCTATAAAACAAAAAAACGGTGTTTGAATAAGAGAGTAGGAAGGGAAGAATGGATCAGTTAACCGAAAAAAATTGAAAGGCTATTTCCTGGTACCTCTGTGATCTTTGCTTTGTTAAGTCACGGGTCGTGCCCTGGAAATTCGGGTTGATCTACTGGAAAGTTCAATTCGGCTATCCCGAGCTGCGCACACCTCCTGAACAAGGTGCGCGCCTCTACAAAACCCAGACAGGTGACATAGCTGTCGATATGATTTACAGCTAAATTGTGCGGAGGAAGGTACGCACACAGATCGGCTTTGCTGCGGCTTCCGGCCTGTCCGAGTTTGTTTGAAGTGAAACACTTTTGGTTCGTGGAATTCTTTCAGTTCCCATAAAGACCTTTTTGGTATTGCCAAAGGGATGAGATTGGAGCTCTTGGCTTTTTTCTACACTATACGTTTTTCTACCCATCCAGAAGGATGGGAAGTTTGACTATCGGAAAAATTCTGCTAAGTAGGCGCATTTGAAATGTGTCGGAGCGTTTCAGTTGGTCACAAAGATACAAGCGCGTTATTTCCATGAAACTGATGACCCTAATGGCAGCTGTTTCGACACTTTCAAATCTCGGTCCAATGTTGTTCCAATGATGTTGGCATGATTTATCACACAACTAGTATGCGCCCATGCAGTATGTGCACCATTATGATAGCCTCGCGGTAGTGATGTAATGTTGACCGATCCA